TAACATCATTAATATGTTTCAATGTTTACACAAATCATTTATTTTAGGAAAATAAGGGTTGGTGACCCAAAAAATGAGAAAACATTCATGGGAGCTTTGATAAGTAAAGAACATTTGGCAAAGGTCAAAGGTTATGTGGATTTGGCCGAAAAAGAAGGAGCAACAATTGCGTGTGGTAAAGAGGATTTAAAACTGGAGGAGAGCAACAAGAATGTAAGTGTCTCAACTTTTATTTCATGTCATTTGTTGGATTTTTTTTCTTTTTATATGGTTTATTTCTTTACAGGGAATATATGGACCAGTGCGTTATGTAATACTGTATACAGGCAGGGTTACTTTTGCCCTTTTGAACTTTCGAATAATTTTGCCCCGTTTTAAATTCGTTCAGGCATAGTTCTGTTTAAGAAATAATGCTGTGTTCTTAGAATTCGCCCTGTTTTAAATTTGCCCAATCATGAAGAGGGCGAAAGGGGAGAAAATTTTCCAATATACAATATATCTGTTTACAGGGATATTTCATAAGGTGTAATAAGACCACTGTTTAACATTATTTATCTATTTACAGGGATATTTTATGATTTGTAATAAGACCACTATTACTGTAATTTATCTGTTTACAGGGGTATTTTATGCGACCCACTGTCATTACTGATGTAAAGGATGACTCTCGTCTGATGAAAGAAGAAATTTTTGGCCCGGTGACTTGTATTGTGCCATTTGACACAGAGGAGGAGGTAAGCTTTACATGGAGTCAGCATGCTAGATACATAACAACTGAATATGAGATTGACATTGGAGGAACTTTAGTTCTGCTTCATACACATGTGAAATGATTTATATTCCCTTTGAAGGCAATAAGACGAGCTAATGATGTGGAGTATGGCTTATCTGCCACTGTCTGGACGGAAAATGCTTCTCGACTTCACAGAGTCTCACAGTCTCTACAGGTATTGTGTTTATCAGGATTTACCAACTACTGGGGTATCCTACCCAGGAAGTTATGAAAAACCAAAAAATTGAAGGAACATGTCAGGCAAAAGCTCTGAGAGATGTTACTGTTTTACAAACCCAACAATGGAAAAAAAAGTTCTGATTCTTGTATAGTATATTAGAAAATATAGCAGCCATTTTCATTATTTAGCTAGAAGTAGAGTTATTTTACAAGTTGTTACAACATTTTACAGGTCGGGACAGTGTGGGCTAACTGTTGGTTGGTGAGGGACCTGAACGTGCCTTTTGGAGGAGTCAAGAATTCAGGGGTCGGATTCGAGGGCAATATCGATTCTCTTGAATTCTTTACAAACCAGAAAACAATCTGTGTGAAATTATAAAGTACAAATAATTAAGTCATGCTTCCTTATTCATAAGGTGAACTTATGAAAACTCTCGGCAAATGCAATCAAAGCCAGAGATAATTAATCACATTCTAATTAACAGTATTATTGATAGCTTTAAAAAATTAAGTTTTTTATGATGTTACACTTATTTTGCTACTTTTCATTATTTTGCAAAGGGTAAAAATTTACAGCCCCTGCAGTAACTTTTAAGAAAGTTAATATTCTGTACATATAGAGTTATGATGTTGACTTCAACGACTTGTTATATGCTGCAGCAGTTTCAAATGTATTAGAATAACAAAACCAAAATGTGAAAATTTGAAACACCTGTGAATTTAAATCTCTAAACAATAAGTGCTAAGTAGGACATCACTGTGCTTAACATTTATCTTCATTTATTTACAGCTGCTTTGTTGTTTGTTTGTTTGTGATATATTTTATATTGATGTATTGTTGACCCATGTAGTTTATTTATGAAGTAAGTCACATATATTGCTCACACATTCCAGACTTAAGTTTATATGTGTATGATGTATTCATAAAGCATTTATAATTTTACAAAGAAATGGTCGATGGTACATGTAGGGCATACCGGTACTTGTTAAGCATAATACTTTGTATTGTACATAAATTATAAGTTCATGTGCCTTAAATATTGTTTGACGACAGTTGTCTTAAAAGGAAAAGAGCTTTTTTCCTTTGTTTATAATTTTGCAGAAGAAAAATATTAATAAAAATTTTATGGTATAAAATATTTATTATATTTTATTGTTCAACCTAATTTTCTACATAAACTCTAGCAGAAGAACTGTAGCTCTCCGAAAAAATAAATATTGACAGACCAGAGAGCTACAGTGTTACCCATTGAAAAAACTGTAAACATGTATTTATTCTGCACAAAAAAGTGTGCCATTTCTGGATTTATTTCTCCATGTTTTTAAAACTGACATCTCAAAATATTACTAACCGTGTGTTCCTAACATATTCTTTCACTGTTTCCACAACAAAACATTCCTTATAATTGTTAATAGCCCTCCAGGCTCCGAAATTGAGATGATCGAAAATTTTATATATTTATACTGCCATTTTTTGTGCAAGATAATTCAGTTAAACGCACTTTGTGTAGATGTCAGCTATGAGAGAACTTGATTGAGAATTTTTTTTTTTTAAGTTGTAGTCTGTCTCTTTGTCTGTCCGTCTGTTTGTCTGTCTTTAAACTCTCCACATTTTCGACTTGTACTCAAGAACCACTGGGCAAAATTTTAACCAAACTTGCCACAAAGCATCCTTGGTTTGTACAAATGAAGGGCCAAGCCCTCTTCCAAGGGGAGATAATTATGAATTAATGAAAAAATTATGGTATCTTTTAAAAAATCTTCTTCTCCAGAACCATTGGGCCAGGAAAGAGGAAACTCACATGGAAGCTTCCTCAGGTAGTGTAGATTCAAATTTGTTTTGTTCATGACCCCCTGTTTAGTGGGCCATATATTTTATATTGGAATACATAGGGGAAATCTTTTAAAAATCTTTTTCTGATTAAGGAAAGATGAAACTCATGTGGAAGCATCCTCAGGTACAGTATTTCAAATTTGTATATATGTAGTATGGCCACAATGGCTGTAAAGTTTTACAAGGAATATATAATCTTTTAAAAATCTTCCTCTCCAGAACCATTGGGCCAGGAAACATAAACTCATGTGGAAGCATAATATAAGTGTTAATTCAAGTATGTTCAATACACGACATGGGAAAGTGCCTTGAAAATTTTTACATAGGAATAGGAAAAATCTTTAAAAATCTTCTCCAGAACCATTGGGCCAGGAAAGGTGAAACTCATGTGGAAGCATCCTCATGTAGTGTAGATTCAAGTTTGTTCTGATCATGACCCCCGGGGGTAGGGCGGGGCCACAATGGCTGATCAAACTTTTACATAGGAATATATAGGAAAAAATCTTCTCCAGAACAGAAAAGTTGTTAAATTGACATATGTGAGCATCTGCAAGTAGTGAAGATTTAAATTTATTCAAAACATGTCCAGGAGGGGGGGGTCACAATGGGATATCGAGTAATATGTTGGAAAAAATCTTCTTTTCAAGTATGGCAAAATTATAGCGGTACATGACTTTTGTATGCTTTATTGATATATTGACATTCTCAAGTTAGTAATAGAAAACAAATCCCCCTTCCCCAACAATTTCAGCTTTTCTAATAAGCTGATTTGTGTTTTTTAACTAGCCCATGTGCTCAGGTGAGCGATGTGGCCCATGGGCCTCTTGTTTCAATGGGTATAGCACTGTAGCTCTCTGGTCTATCAATATACTTTTTGAAAGAGCCACAGTTCTGCAGCTACATAAACTCGAACAAGCTTCATTGGACTGTGTGTCTATCTATCTCTTTAACAATTTCTGTCTGTAAACTTCCCCTTCTACTTTTTCTAAGAATGCTTTGTATTAAAAATTACCTCTGTTGTTAAAATTAAAGAATCAGCTGAAAGGTTGTGAAAAGTTGTAATGTACATTATTCATGTAATGTACAACCGAAAATGAATATATCTGCAAAATTTAAAAAGTAGGTCACTCTGTTTTACTAGGTACTTTTCTTTAAATGTTTTAAAGATCCTTGATGTATCATTTAAGAATATTTGTTGATTTTAAACCAGTCCCTCAGTTAAAACTGAAGTGACTCTATAAGTCATGATGCAGAAAGTAGAGACCAAAATTTATGAGGTCATAAACTGAAAATAAAAATTAGATCTGTAGTTTTTTTTTGGAAATAAAGCTAATTAAAATGCAAATTTTGGAAAGTAAGGCCACAATCAAAGGAAGGATCAACATAACACGAGAGCCCTGTAGGTCACATTGCTCACTTCAGCATATTGGCTAGGAAAAAGGACAAATCCAGTATTGAAAAGTTTACATGGGGCTAAAATTTAAACTACCTGAATATGCTTCCATATCAATATAAAAAGTGGCTTTGTTGTTTTTCTGGTGCAGGAAATTTTTTAATATTTTTCTCTCTGTATTCCTTTGTAAAAAATTGATCCTCCATTGTTGCCCCTCCCTACCCTCGGGGTTCATGATTTGAACAAAACTGAATTTACACTAATCATAGGTGTCTAATTGAGGATAGACTTAGTGTAAATAATTGCAATAGGTTAAGGCTTTTTAATAAGTATAGGTTAAAACATGTCGAAAATAGACATTTCCAAATTAATGTTGCAGTATAGGTTAAAAGTACTTAAAACATGTGGAAATTGATAGTGTGTGGAAGAAAATTTGGTCCCCCATTGTTGACCATTCCATATTTGCTCCTGGGGGGTCATGATAATTATGGCTTTTCTGTTCTTGAGATTTTTTTCCCCTATAAATTCCTTCCCTCATTGTGACCATTCTTCACTAACAAAATTGAGGATGCTTCCATATCAATATGACTAATCATGGTCTTGCTGTTTTTGAGAAGATTTTCGAAGTTTTTTTCCCTATATTCTTTTGTAAAACTTTGATCCCCACTTTGACCCTTCCCTATCCCAGGGGTTATGATTTGAACAAACTTGAACCTTCACTATGTAAAGCTTTCCTAGAAGTTTCAACTTTTTTGGCCCAGTGGTTCTTAATGATTTACCAGACATATAAATATACATAATTAAAAGACATAGGCATGAAATACAGTAGCAATTCTTAGTTTTATTTTTATCTCTCTGTACATGGAATGACATCGATAACAGTGATAAAAAATTTAGAATGTTAATAGGTAGTTTGATTCTACTCATATACATAACTGTTAAAAATTTAAAATAATAGAAAAACCAATATGTTTCAAGAAATTTTTGATAAATGGAAAAAAACGAATGTAGTATAATTGTTCTAGATTTAAGAACTAACTATGGCACTTTCTTATGATATCTTAAAGTATTCAAAAACTTTAAAATTTTGACAATACAACATATCTTAGACTAATGTTTCTACAACAATATCATTAACAGAACTCAATAACAAAAGTTACATGTATTTAGCACAGGATTTAATTACAAGTCAATCTACAAAATCCCCAAACAACTGTACTTCTAAATTTAGACTTTCCATCAAACAGCTGTCTAGGTATATCTAACGCAATAAAAATGCTGCATGTTCTAAAGACAACCTACAATTAATCAAATTAATGGTGTCATAATACTTTCTTTATATTAAAACATATGGTATTTTTGTTTGAATATTTCAGAGTTTATAGGGCAAGATCAGTTGTTCTAAAACAAGAATCATTCAAATATCTACCTATAAAATTCTTAAAATTTGTTCCTGATGTTTAAATTTGAAATTCAGAGTTACTGTACAAATTATTTTCTAAAATTTTGGTTTATTTCCTTCTCTTTTATACTAAGAGCTTCAAAAAAGATTTAGAATCTTGATGTAAAACAAAATTCTAGTAAATTTTTATATATACAAGGGGGGCAGAGACAAAAGAAAACTCAGAATAATCTCCAGAAATGCTGAACTTGTTCATCTTGGCATGAAGGAATGCTGTTTTCTCTGTGAGCGGTGAACAACTTTGGTGGAAAAATGTTTGGAGTTGTAATTTGAAAGAAGTGATTACAATATTGGTGTAGATTTTGGGTCTGCCTTTTGGTTATAAATAGAATACAGAAACTCTTATCCATGTGAGATTTTTCTATTTCACAAGGATAAAATATTGCACAATATAAATAGGAGGCCCTATGTGTTCACCAAAAGGAACGATGATGAATGTAAAAACAAATGCATGAAGTCTATAGATGACATATCAATAAATGAACAGATATGGGATTTGAAAATCAAAAAGCCACGTGAATTTTTATCAGAACATGGACATCATACATTGCATTGTATTTACAAATCGGTATGGCTCTTGTGCACTATCTTGTGAAAGGTAAGCACTTAAAAATGCATTTTAATATACAATATACATGTACCTGGTAAAATAAAGTCATATATACAAAATACTTTACAAGTATTTATGGATTTAAGTGAATGAGTGTCAAACTGACCAACATGATGAAGTTAATAAAATGCATAAATGTGTTAGATAAATTCTTGGTTATGTGGTACACATTTTCATGTTCATGGATCAACTACATGATACATGTAGCATCTTTGAACCAATCATTCTAACCAAAAGGCAAAAAATGATTCTTTTTCATGAAAGCAACAACAGGGAACAAAATGTATGAAACATATCATAATATACTACCGGGGTACATATGTCACTTGTGAAATCATTTACCAATCCACAGAAAAAAATTGAAGTGTCAAAGATAGATTTGGCATAAGATATGGATTACCATCAAAAAGCAAATGCATGTATGCAGTACCAAGGTATATCGGGGTGAAGTTTCGAAAATATGGCTACTGTGGTATCATCAATGTTGGTGGGGTACCAATGTTAGTGGATTTAGTGGGTCACCTTTATCCATGAATTTATATTGTACATCCCAAAGGACAATTCTTTTGTCATTTTATCAATTTATTAAATCTTTTGTATATATGAGTTACCCACGAAGTTACATCCCCATGAACAAACAATTTTGCTTACTTACTAACATTGACCCCCACAAATTAAAATGATTCCAGAGTATTTATGACATTACATAAAGAATATTATGGAATGGAAGTAACATTAAGTATACAATGTACATGTAAATGTATGTAAAATATCAACATAAAATCAAATTACTGGCCCAAGAACATAGGACTTGGTCAATGTACAAAATATAACAAGGGTGGTTCAAGGAGCAATGCGATATTTTGATTCAAAACCTCTTAAAGGTTGCAATAACAACTGGAATGTTCTTTTATACAATATAGGTATGATGTGCCTTAAAAGGATATGTACAGTAAAGTTAACATGCTAGTTTGCATCATTTGTAAAGTAAATCTTTGTATATTTCAAATCATGTGGTTATCAGCTTTAGCACCTTTTTATCTGAAATTTATAAATTGTTTGTTTCCTCTATCTCTGACTAGATGCTGTAGTGTAATATCATCTTCTACCTCTCTTTTTATTGGTTGATACAGAACACAGGTTAAAGGTCATCATCACCAATAGTATCAAATGCATTGTTCTCAACAAAAGTTTTGTTCTTTCCCTTGGGCTTTTCCTGTTTAAAATAATATGTATAAGTTAACATGTAGCTAATAAAATGATATTATATCTAGAAATGTATAATCATGCATTAAAAACTTCATTTTCTATTTTTCAAAGAAACTTGAATTCAGCAATCATTATCAAAAGTGGCATCCTTACATCCACTGCTTTGCTTGGCTGATAACCGTTTTCTTGCTGGGCTGTCCGAGAATCCATCTTGGATCTGTCTTGTGGCTGTTAAAATACAAGCATGAAAGTTTGGTTTTCACATGATTACTAGGCCCTGATATGATTGTGTTTAGTTCATCCATGTACATGTTTATTACTTAGATGAATTCCAGAATCTATAAACATTTGGGGGGTGGGTTGTTTTCTTTGTCAGAGATTTTTAACTTGAATATTCAGCAGGAAGATGTTTATGTTCAAAATGTACACTTTATTCTCATGATTTCTGTCTTGTTATCTGCAAACCTTTTTGATTTTCTTTCCCTGCTTTTTCATGATCAGTTCATCGACCATGGATTGTAGACACATACTCATCAGAATTGCCTGAAATATAAATGTTACACATGGACAATGAACTGCACAAAATCATTGATAGATCACATACATGTACATACATGTATCTATTGCCAAGTTTAGACGTGAAAATGAATAATGTTGCTAACTTGCTTTGCACATTATTTCCTAAAAAAAATTTTCTTCTAGTGGTACCCAAGCACAAATTTCATTGCTGTTCTCACTGACATTTTACAATATCCTTTTTCATTACCTGGTCTGTGGTTATAGTGATCCATTTCAAGGTGTCCTTTGCCATTAAATATTCAAATGACAACTCCAGTTTGGGTTTACTTGACTGTCCACCTATGGCTATTTGTCCATTAGATTCAGGCATCTGTAAAATCAGCAACACAAATGGATTTAAAAACAACCAATGGAGGCTAAATCAATCAATATACTAGGTGATTTATAAACATAGTTTTTAAGTGATATTTATTCCAAAGTAAATTTTCACTCTAATTCAGGATATAGATATTAATTTCATTTGCACAGTAAAATTTGATGCATACTTTGAAATCATCAATATAAAATAGCTGAACGTTTATAAGAGACATTTTATATAAAGTATCCTGATTATTTTCTGTTAATCTATCTATTATTTTTGTTCATAGCTGTTAAGCTATATGAAAACTTGACTTATTTTGAGGTCAAAGTTCAAATACAAACTTAACATGTGTACAATACTCACAGAGGTTGTAATTCTCCAGCATCTCATTCTGGTGATCTTAAAGCTTCCTTCCTTCATTGTGCTCTAAAAACAACAAAAAACAAGATCATGAAGTATTGAGCAAGATATACATGTATTGTTAAAGTTTATTCTACATGCATGTCTGGTTATTACAGATGCGATTTCCTTGATAATCATATACATGTACAATATTTCATGATAAAAAGCAGATAATTACTGAATCTGTCTGTATCCTGAAGTTGAGTTCTCGATGTCCCGCAGCTACAAACACACGAGAGAGGGGATGGGGATAGTCTGTCACACAGGGTTTAAACTGTATATAACCATAATACTTCATAGTCCTCGCCAGACGCAAGTACTGAAAAAAAAAGGTTCAACACTGATGCACACATTAATATTCAAAACAAAGTAAAATCTTCATCCCCTTCATTCTTTCATCTCTCCTATCTCTCTGTACCCTTCTCTTAGGACTTTTTTTTGTTGTTCATCAATATAAATTTGTTTTTTTTTTTGTTTGTGTTGGAGAGGACATAGACTAATACTGTACATTTTTTTGATAATGAAAAAAACATTCTTTTTGTCATCTTTTTTAGCTACACTTTAGAATATCTTACCTCCCTTTTGGACCCCCTTTGTTGTAACGTTGCTAGGTGCCGGAGTTGTTCCTTTGTTCCCAGTGTCCATTGCCTTTCAATGTCACTCACTGCCTATAAAGTGGACAAGTTGTCAAAGTTATCTCTCTTTTCATAAACTTTACAATATAAAAAGTATTTGACTTTAAATCTAACACGAAAGTTTCTACTCTATAAACACATACCTGAACATAAAGGAGATTCATTGCAATTTTATTGTCAAGTAAGTCATCTTCATACGCCAGGTCCCAGATACTGAAAAATAGGGATAAAACTTGAGGTAAGTGTATTCACATTATATAAACAACAATAAAACAGGAAAAATTCCTCTTGTAATAATTAACATAATTACCAAATGAGTACTTGAAAAGTTCCTAAAAGCTTTTCAATGATAATTTATCAGTTTCCTTAGTATTTGTTAGAATATTAGCATTTCCATTGATAAGTATCAATCTCAACATGTGTATGTACTTGTTTATTCTGATAAGAAACATTTTGATGCAGAATGGTACTGTTACATATATACTGTACCGTATTTCATTCTATAAATTAAAACACTTTTTTTCGCTATTTGGTGAGTGTTGTGGGGTATGAGGATTACCTTTTGCGCAGGACAATTCTGTGTGAACCAACATTGTTTGCATACTTCAAGGAAATGTATGGAGATTCAAATTCCTGGAGTTTTCTAATGACTGGAACAAAAAAAACAAAACAATTTTCAACATAATTTCCTTTAATAAAAATTACATGTAATTAAAAAAAATAGGTTTTTCATAAATGTTCTACATTTTAATAATATGAAAGTGAAAGTACAAGTACAGTATTATGTAAATAACTGGTATCAATTTAAGTTTACATCAGATTCTTACTAGAATTATCTCCACCCTCCTCTTTTTGAACAAGAAATAAACCGAAGTAATAGACAAACTCATCTGGAAGTTCTATCTGGGAGGCAACAGCCTGAAACAGAAACCAAACTCATCAGTTAACATTAAAACCAAAGACATTCTATGACTTAAAGTACAAACTTTACCAAGTGATAATTTAATTTTCACCTTGTAATTTACATAAACCTACAGACCATGAAATAATTTATTACTCATTCAAAGCACATAACTATTTAGGTTTTTTTCATTTTTTTTTCAAATCAAGAAGCATTTCATGCTAACATTTCAGTTTCACTCAAACTTGGTAGCATTCAAACAACATAGCACATGTAATAGGGCAGTGGCATGATTCAAGGTCTTTCGTGTTATTTCCAAATCTTTTGTACATTTCCATTCTCTTCATACACAGTGTACAATTCAAACTATACACTTCAGGGATAGGTATTACTCTATTATAAAGGTGTTTACCTCTAACACATCCTCTGTCTGGTCAGTGGACATGATTTTGACCGTGATCTTATGACCGTTCATCAGGTACACATCAAGGGACACTGCCTCAGATGGCTCCTTCTGGGTCTCCTACAAAAAAGGTTTGTCAGAATAAGCATGATTTTACAGGTGCGTTTTCAGGTGTTTTTTCGTCTACACAGTTGAAGCTACCATACATTATAGGGATGATTCATAAAAATGATTGTAAAGTGAAACCTGTCAAATCTGACAAACAAATTTTGTGTGGGGATAGGGTGTTGAACTACACAGTATAAAGAACAAAGAAAACTTTTAAGTGCAAATGAAAATAAATGTCATAATTCACAGTGTAACAGAATGTATAGGTCTTGAATTAGAGAGTTTTTACTGTCTATTCTTTGGTTGAAATTGGCTCCGTTTCTTGAGAAGAAGATGAAAATGTGAAAAGTACACAATGACAAGGAGGACAACAAACAATGGACAAATTTTGATCAGGATAGCTCACTTGACTCTGCAGCCCAGGTGAGCTAAAAAATTATTTATTGATTTACATGTAATTCTTCTATGGTTTTATTGATTATACATGTATCACCGTATAGTAACAATGAAGCCTCATTCGATCCCTTATTTTTGTACAAAAGCTGACTATGCTGAAAACGGTCTTAATTTATTAATCTCTTTCTTACAACTATATAGAATAAATATATCTTTTGGTACAAATGATAAAATTCACAAATTATACTTCCTTATTTGTACCCATGTGATAAAAGGTGTAAATATAGCCTATAACCTGTTTCATGCATACTTCATTATGACTAGCATGACTATAAATACCCTGGATTGAGGAAACACTTATAAAAGGCTTCAAATACTTAAAATCACCCACTCAGCTGACACAAGATCAAGTAGGAAGTGCCACTTCTTGAGATCTCAGATTACACCTTATCTTGTTTTCCTTTCATTTAAAATAGGATCAACTAGGGCATGCTTTAGCTGCATCAATACAATTCTTACACTTGCAGAATTTTAAAAAATATACACAACACAAACATTCGTTTTACTTGTTTTATAAATATATGTAAAGTCTGTCAGTCATAATTTGTTTTCCATGTGTTTTTCTTCAATGAAATAGTAATAATTATTGTTTCATCAAATATTCCATTCCATTAACATGATAAAATGGACAAGATGATGATACTATAATATGATGTGAAAAACAATGGACAATTTTCTTACCTGTTGTGCTTTCAGGAAAAATCCATTAAACGTGTCAGAATTTGATATCTGTGGATCCTGGCTAACTAATACAAAAAAATTTATAAAATATTATTGTTATTAAGGTCTTCCGTTTCCAACGGAAGACCTTCTACTGATTCTGTTGGTAAAGATTATTATTCTTTTTTTTCTTCTGCTTCCTAGACCGCAACTTTGAGGCCTCACATCTCGCTCATTTCTCAACGGATTTCGCTCAAATTTTCAGACGTTATAGACGTTAATAAACTCTATCAGAATGCTGTCTAAAATTTCAAAAAGTCACTTCCGGTTTTGAGTTATTTCCCTTTAAAGGAAAATTTATAGGCTTTCGTTTCCAGACAAAGGCTCAGAGACGGCTAAAGCTGGAGCAGAAATTCTACTGATTTTAGATAATAGAAGGATTGAAGTTGTGCACATCGGTTTTTGTTTTTCGATTTCTCTATTCAAAATGGCGCTATATAGGGGTCAAAAATTAGAACGCTTAAAAGAACCAAAAATTACTCATACTTTCCTTTTTATCTTCTAAACTTAAAATATTTTGTTAAAGTATATAGAACATAATTTGTGCAGAATTAGAAGATCTTTCAGATGATATGTCGAAAAAAGGGCTGACCCCTAAATTAAGGGACTTAGAAGGGCCAAAAGTTTTTTCCAGATATCTCAAAAAGTATTGAGAATTGTTATACATCAAAGAAGCAAAGTTGTTCAAAATATCAAACTTTGTCTAATGGGGTCGTCAAAATACGTCCGGCGACGTCACTTCCGGTCGAACCGGAAGTAGTCAGAAAATGCATATTTTTGCCGTTTTTGACAGGTTTTTGGGTAACATGTGTCACTAGAAGCTTAAATATCAATTTTCCGTCCGTCGTCAAACCGGAAGTTCCAAAGAATGGCTTAATTTTGCAATACTTAACATAGATTTGGAGGATTAACCCATTTTTGGACTTCGTTACTCTTTTTTTTTTTAAAATGAAAGTTACTTCCGGTCAAACAGGACGGAAGACCTACTCGTTGCTTTGCAACGAGCTCGGCTCTAGTTCATTGATATTTTCATTCATGAACAATGTCAATAATGATGCTATATCTCATACCAACTGAATACCTAACTTGGGGGGAAAAATGTCATTTTCTGAAGCTAAGATTTCATGCAAGGCTGATATCTTAAATTACTTTAGTAGCTTCATGTACATTGTAAATATGCATGCAAATTTTGGAAGGTTTACACTTGGAAACATACTTTGTTAAACAGTTTAAACTGGATAATGTTCTTAAATTTACATAAAATATCATTTCCAAAGAGATCTTATCGAGAAAAGATGCATCATCCATGCAAGTTTGATCCAGTTAATACATACGAGTGGGTACTTTGGTTTTAAAAGTGCCCCAGAAAGTTTTCAAATGAATTGAATCATTTATCTATATTCATCATTAACAACATCATCCTTACTGATTTGAATAAATCTCTCTAGCATTTGTCTTCTTTCATCCACTTTTGCTGGAGTCAAAGACAAGAATTTCTTTGGAGGGAATGGGGGCATAGATAATCCACCAAATTCCTTTTTAAGCTGAAAAGGAAGACATTCTGTGCTTAATTTTCTGTTAACTAGTAGGACAGCAATATTTTAAGTAGAAAATTAAAATTTATTGTGCGGTCATTTTAATTTTATATCTATAACACTGTAAAAGAAGCAACAATTCAATACATGTATAATATAACACATCATTTACTGGTACTTACCTGTTCATGAAATTGGTGTAAAGCACTATATCTAACACTACAGTGAAAAACGCCATTAATGTGTATGTTGAAACTCTGCAAGTAAAAAAAACTTTACCATTGTATTTAAATAACTTACAAACTATACCATTTCACAAACCAAAACCAGCATGTTTTCATCTGGTTGCATGCATATAAATTTGCAAGACAGTGAACTGCATTACAGTCTTCTTGCTGCTTTGTGTTGTGGGTCTTTCATTACTTTTTTATGCCCCTGTAAACAATGTTTCGGGGGTATATAGTTTTTGTCATGTCCGTCCATCTGTCTAGCTGTCTGTCTGTATCTCTGTCTGTCTCTCTCTGTTTGTCTGTTTGTCCGCAAAAACTTTAACCTTGCTCATAACTTTTGATTTAGTGGAGTATGACTTTCATATTTCACATAATATGTATTCCTTGTGACAAGACCTTTCTTTGGGTACCACCAAATTTGACCTTTTGACCTTGACCTTGGAGTATGACCCACTTTTACACAAAAATTACACAAACTTTTACTTTGGCCATATCTTTTGAACAGTTGATACCAGGACATTTATACTTCACATATGAATTCTTTGTGGAAAAACCTTTTATTGGATACCAACAACCTTGACCTTTTGATCTTGACCTTGGAGATTTCCATACTTATGAAAAAAAACTTTAACCTTGGCCATAACTTTTGAGCAGTAAGGGACAGGGCTTTCATACTTCACATATGTAATCCTTGTGAAAAGACCCTTCATTGGATATCCAAAACTTTGACCCTTTGACCTTGGGAGTTTGACCTACTTTAAAAAAGCAAATCTTGACTAGAACATTTAAAGGGTTAAGGCTGGTGCTTTCATACTTTATATACTCTATACAGGAGTTTGACCTACTGTGGGCGAATTTAAAACGGGGCTAATTTAAAGTAAACTGTATAATATCTTAAACAAAAATCTTTTGGGGCAAATTTAAAACAGGGCAAACTTGTTTTCAGATGTGAAAGGGCGAAAATAACATGGGTCGAAAATAACCCTGTATACTGTATTTAATGCTTGTGACAAGACCTTTCATTTGATAGCAAGACCTTTGACCCTATGACCTTGGAGTTTGACCTACTTATTAATTTTTTTAACCTTGGCCATAACTTCTGAACGTTTAGGACTTGGGCTTCCATACTTTACATACGTATTCCTTGTGGCAAGACCTTTCATTTGATACCAATTACCTTGACCTTTTGACCTTGACCTGGGAGATTTTTGTACTTATGAAAAAAATTTAACCTTGGCAATAACTTTTGAATGCTAAGGGCTAGAGATCTCATACTATATATATGTAATCCTTGTGAAAAGACCCTTCATTGGATACCAAGATTTCCAAACTGATGAAAAAATTTTACCCTGTTCTGATTTCATATTTCAGAGCTGTAATTCCAGTGAGTTTGCATTTAAGGAAAGTTTAATCTTTGCTAATTTGTTGCCATATGGGGGCATCAGTGTTTCACAAACACATCTTGCTTTTAGTTTTTTTTTTAATCGAGACTAATCATGCTAATGAATTGAAATCTTTGATGCATAAGTTTAACAGATTCATAATTTTTTTTTAATTAATTGTTAACATGATTATCAGATTAATTCATATTCTGTTAAAATCATAGGCACTTGTTCATGTAAGTATTTAATTTCATGTTACATGGCACACCTCCTCCAAAAGTACTTCTGTAGTCATTTATTCTATCAGAGATAACAGAGTAATGGGGGGGGGGGTTAACAGGTTAAAGAATACAAGTATATATTAAAACTGACAAAGTGTCAGAAAAAGTCAAGCTGTAGCAACTGAACAATACATCATAAAATGACATAAAAATGTGGGCTACTGAGTCAGATAAAAATTCATCATAGGGAAACCAAACGCACAGGTCATTGTAGAATATAGTAACCAAAGAACTTGTCCAAAGATGCAATTGACGGCCATTGTAAAACTTAACTGATATTCCTACGCAAAGAAAAGCGTCAAATCTCTGTAAATAAACTGTTGCTGCTGCGAAGCATAATTCATTATTCATTCTTCAAAAAAAAACCGAATCTATCATAAAACACTTTATCTATTTATATAATATACTGACATTTTTAGAAAAAGATTAATTTTTGTTTCTAGAAATGTTTTTATTTTAACGATATATTTTCATGTTTTTAAACAAAGAAAATATATGACCTAGCATTGTTTTAGATAATTTAAACCCCTCTAGTTCTTGAGTAAAAAGGTTTTGAGTTCAATATAGGCCTATTTCCATTTCATTATTTATTATTACCAGAGACATATAAAACCATGGTTTTGTATGTCTCTGTTCTTACAGAAACATGGTCAGATGGTGTGTTTATTTACCGTATATGTCGAACCCGTTTCGTCTTTAAGCTCTTGTGTATCTGGTATCGAAAAATGCATCTTTGTGTGTTCCTTTTCAAACTCTGTCAAAATAAATACAAGTCATGGCAGTGTTTTCGTCATAAGATTAAATTTTCCACCCCTTAAACTTCCGCCATTTTGGAAAAATGACATATCACGTGATTCTGTTTATACGAAGGCATCAAAATTGCTTATTAATTAACACATGAGTATAAGATACCATCATTTTCTTGAAATATTATGCAAATGAGCATTGCGTATATTTTTATTTGTAACCAGTCACTAACGTTATATCTAGCGATCTGTCCTAGAATAACTTTTCCGGAATTGTACTAATTTGGTTTTGTAAATAACTCATACTCGACGTTTTCCTGTCAAATAAAATGGCTGATGAACAACAAGAAAATCTAGCAACTTATAGATTGCAATTACAGCAGGTAGAAACACCTTATAACAATGATGTCCACTCAAAGCGTTTGTTCAACTTACAATTTAGATAAAGATCTGTTTTAAAACAGCAATTTATGATTATTGTTCTAGATCTATGTATAGAGTTTTATAAAGGAAATTTCTTTATGTTTTGGAATCTTTTATTCTCTACATAATATTACTTCCAGTTAGCAGTAAGCACATTACTGTTCCTTCAAAAGAACAAAGAGTTTATTTTTGGTTTTTTTTATGGTGCTATAATGGGGTTTAAAAAGTTTTTTTGGGGGGGGGGGGGTAGATCTACAAGAATTTTTAAAATCTTAAAAATGGGTACAAGGATTTATAAAATCTTAAAAATATATGTGACTCATATTGGTTTCTTGTTTTGAGTAGATGACCATTTTAACTGTATATATATATATGGTCCTCTTTTAAATAATCTGTTTCTTGGAATAAGGCCTCAACACAATAGAATACATCCCATACACTTGCAATGTTGCAGACTATCCTTAAAGCACAGGACTGTCAGATTAATCCAATGAAAATTGAGTCGATTGGAACGACTTTACTTTACTGGTCCTCAGAAAAACGTTAAAATGTATGTCATGGTAGGCCATATCAATATATATGAAACGGTGAAGGATCTCGTTCTCTGAAATTTTTTATCAAATGTTTATTCATTGAAAAAATTGACAAAATAAAATTATCCACAAAGCGCATGATTCACATGCTTACTGTGGTTTCTATCGTACTAAGCCCTTTCTCCCATTGAAACAAACCAGTGAAATGCCTGATACTGAATTACAATCTTGCAAAAATACAGAAGCAACTGAATTTCTTAATTTATCGAAAAGAATGAGTCACTAACAATTACCTTTTGGAAGGTATGCAAGGACTAAGACATTTAGATGAAATCTCCTGGGCAGATGTTAGACTAACGATGCTAACCTTAATTAGTCAAATAACGTGCAAGAACTATAACCCTAATCTCCAGGATAGATGCAAGACTAAATTTAATCAGTCAAATACTTGTGCAAGAACTAACCCTAATCTCTCAGGTGGGTGCAGATCTCTCAGGTGGGTGCATGATTAAACCATACCAACTGAGTAGTGTGTAAGACTAACCCTTATCAGTTACATAAACAGGGTTCGACACTAACGGTGGACCGGCGGCCCGAGTCCACCAAAAAATTGGAAGGTCCACCAAATGTTCTGGACTAGGTGGACCGTCGATCCATTTTTTAAACACCGTATATAAAAAAAAAAGTGAAATTCCAGGTTTTTTCTTAAATCCGTAACTCAAAAATATAATTAATATACATACGTAAATAATGTTTTAGGTAATCAGGGGGACCTAGCAACTCGATATATTTTACATGTTAAATTGATAACTCCAACATGTCCAATATTAACAATAATATTGAGACGCAAGAACATACAACATGGACCTTGAATAAGAAGCATGAAAAATCTGTGCCAAATTAGCCAGTCTCTCCTCTGTTTACTAATGCATAGAAAGGTGTGAAAATCGCTTCACGCCTGAACGCACACAGTTGGAGATAATTAGAATTGATTGACAGCTGCATTTATGTATTGTGTTTTTTTTAAATAGATGTTCAAAAAGGCGTAATTTACATTTTGTGAACTAATCTGCAGTTTCATATTTTCTTGATATACATTATATCACTACTTATTTGAATAAATAATAAATTTTAGAAAAGTAATTGATTAATACACATACAGGTTTCTATCTCAGTTTTGCATCGTAAGATTTAGCCTTTAATATTTGAACAAATTAATTAATACTTGGAATTTTAATAATTAATCTACCTTTGGAAGCAAAATAAATGCAGATTTTAGGTTTTCACCATTGTAACTTAATGATAATAATTAAAGAGAAAAATTTTTGGTTTGTAGATTAATACGTTTTGTTTTTTTTTAAGTTCAAAAATATTTCTGACAAAAAAAATCTGACTAGTCCCTAATTGATTTGATTCTGTTGACTGGTTAGACTTATGTTTTATTAGTCTGATGGAATCGGTATGTATTAAAGTTAGCTTTAATTAATGCCTCATGTAATGATTCATTCAATAATTAAAACATTTATAAAGGTCCACCAGATATTGAGAAGGTCCACCAATAATTTTTGACAAGTGGACCTGTGGTCCACCAAGGTAAAAAAGTTAGTGTCGAACCCTGCATAAATGTTATGTCATAGTCCATAGAGTGCAAGGATCTTGCAGATCTGGGGACCAGTAAAGTAAATTCTACCCAGTTGGTCCAATGATGAAGTTACAACAAATGGTCCAAATGTCTGAAGGCTATTTTTTGGAATTTTTTTCTCTTGTATATCTATTTTATAATACACCTGACTCTTATAAACTCAGACTTTCAAGGAACCAATAATCAAGAGTTTTTAAATTACTGTTTTCTCATGCTAGTTAAATAAAAGTGTACATGCTAATTATGAGTAATTTTACACATTAGTAAAACTGTATTAAAATGTAATTTTGAATCAAAGAAGAAAGCAGCAGCATTTTGTAGATAAATACTGTGAAATCACAAATTTTCGTGGGGGTTTAATTAGGGCCCCGCAAGGATTTGCGGGTGCCCTATAGTAATCACTTTGTCTGTCTGTCTGTCATTCTTCCATCCACAAATTTTCTATTTTTTCCTAATAACTTTTTTTATGGTTGCCCAATTAAGATCAAATTTGGTATGGTAGTTCAATAGGCAGAAAGATAAATTTTGATGCTAAGTTTGTTTCTCTATGTCCCCTGGTTTGGAGCTGGGGTGATGGGGTATATTCCTTAACTTTATATAAGAGTGCTTTGGCAAAGAGAGATAACTGCTGAAGATGTTTCCATTGTAAACTGAATGCTGCTATGTGTCCCTTGGGATTAATTAGCTTTCCTCTTGAAGAAAATCCAAAGCATTATCTTTATCTGTCACATTGAGATTATTTACCACCTCTGTCTGCAAATGAAGTTTGTTCTGAAGTTCAGTCAATTTGGAATGCTATGAACACTCTGAAATGTGGATTTAGATATAAATGTTTATACTTTATTTTTGTTAAAATATCCTACACAATGAGTTATGATTTCATTGAATTCTAAAAACAAGAAATAGATTAAAGAAGACATATCTTTTATCTTTACTTTTTTTTCCTTTATGTAAATTCAAGAATAATACAGGTATTAATTTCTAAGGTAGTTGGATAAAAAAAAAACATTCTAATATTAATACTGAAAAAGTTCCTATTGTAACTTTAGAAGAAAATGATGAGAGAGGTACAATTAATCCCTTGGGATTAATTATCTAGCCTGCTGAAGAAAATTTAGTAGGCCTATCTTTATCTGTCATTTTAGGATTAATGAAAACCTTTGTCTGCAACTGCTGTTTGTTTTGAAGTTAAGGTCAAGCCTTCATGATACATGTATTTGCATTCATTGAAGACTGGCATTTTATATAACACTAACACAAACTTCATTATTGTTTATATATACGTTCAATGTTAGGTTGTTCTTTACTGCCTAATGTAAATATACAAGGACATTATTTTAAGGTTTTTGGATATTCAGGAAGTATGTTGAAAATTTTAAGAATACAGTTGCTGTTGCTTATTTCTTCATATATTTTTTAATCATTCCGTAAGCTGCATCCTTATAATTCCACCCCATGGCGGGGCCCTTGCTGACTGGTCAGTTTTCAAGTTTTCGAGGTATGAAGAGACCCCTGAATTCATGTCTACCATGAAATGTAAAATGTTACATATTTCACAACTCAACAATTCTTATCCACAAAATCAAACCCCATCAACAAAAGGTTTTTCCCCCAAACCACAAAAATTTGACCCCAAGAAAATATGTGATTTTATAGTAAACACCATTTTAAAAACTTCCTGTCAATTATAAGTGAATAAGTAATGTATTGACTTCTTTTTTATACATTTTTTCCAATAATTTTTTTTCATTAATATATTCCAATTTAGAAAAAGAAAACAGCAATAGGTCACCAACCCATAAAACACATGCCACATCTGACACAATCAACCTTGGAAAAAAAGTGATGAATTTAAATGGCCTTGTTTTAAAAAAATTTTAATCTGGCAAAAGTTCATGTGGTTCTGTGAAATGCATCTGTCGGTTTAAATGTCTGGTGTTACGAGTTTCGAGATTGTAACTCTCCTACGATTGAGGTGCAAAAAGTATCCATATCAGCATGGAGGTGGGACAGGTTGCTTCTGTATAAAAACGTGCATGAATAAATGAACGATATTTATGGCTTTTAGAATTTATTAAATGTTATAAAAAGATAATGATATTAAGCAGTGATGCATTTGATGATTTTATCAAGCTCAACTATGCATATTTGCAATTTTACTTTGAATTATAAGGTACTTGAAAATGAAAGAAACGTTGTAGTCCTTATAAAAAAAGTAACCGATTTTCATGATTGTACAAACATTTTCTAAACAATTAGTGTTTTTTAAAAGTTATAATAAGGAAAAGAATCAATATGTAATTTAGATTTCCAGCGTGCAATGATCAGATGCATGTATTTATTAGAGGTCCATATCTCTTCCCTCGTCTAAAAAGTCTCACATCCACTGATATTTTCTTTTTTGTTACGATTTTTTGCTTTAAAAATTGATATCTTTAAATTAATTCGGTTATTCTCGAGTTGTAGAGTGCATCCTAGCAATCATGAAGTGACGATAAACCAGTAGATTATCTGTATCGATATATCCAATATATAAATAATAAATATCTGTCCCACCTGTCTGTTTACGCGGCAACGAAACTCCCCTCCTCAACGAAAGAGCGCAACAAGGGAGATAATCTCAAAACTTGCGAAAAATAACAAACCTTTTTGAGACTGTGTATGCCTTACTTAAAAAAAAAGTCCACATAAAGATGAAAACTCATTTTCTTAACATTTTTTCTTGCTAAAATTTACATGCCATGTTGACATTCTGAATTCTTTGGATTCTTCTCAATAAGTACACAGACAGTTATTTCCTGTCTTTATTTTGCTACATTTCCAATACATGGAACAAATTCTAGCATTGAAGCAAGCGCTAGTCCTTGAGACAATTGAACTTTCTATCTACATGTACAATTTATTTCCAGAGTGAGCCTAAAAAATTCCCTAAGCCCAAAGTCTTTAAGAAAAATCCGTTCTAAGAGACATGTAACTTATTTAACATTCTACATGTTCCAGGTTGAAGCTTCTTTGACAACAGATCCAGATAATGAAGACCTCAACAAACTCAAAAAAGATCTGCAGGTGAGCTTCTATGTCACATTTTTGTGGTCAACCAAGGTGCAAGTGGGTTGGGAATTTTTTTTAGCAAACTTTTTTTTTTAATCAAAATAGTACATGTAGAACAGATATTGAACTTATGAAATAAAACACATTGTGCATAATTTATTTTTGCCCAAATTCTTATTTTATTGCTTATTTAGAAATAGTGGGAAAAAAACATTTTGAAATGATTTGAAATTGAAAGCAATCTAATTAAATTCAAGGCACTTTCAAATGACCACTGAGATTTTTTTTTATTTGAGACTCTGAAAATGGAATCATTTGATTTTAACTATTTCAGTGCATCAATTTTTTTTATGATTGATATTCACTTTGCATTTTTTTAAAAGCTGCAAGATGGTAAATGACCATATTTTTTTCTGATGAAGGTTGAGAGAGGTATATAGAGGGTGGGTAATATGTCTTAAAAGGATACATTATCAATCCAAAGCATCTTAATGTGTTTAGAGTCTTATATTTTTAGACGAGTGCTACATGGATTTTCTTGTTATTCCGTTGTGTCAAGAGAAACCTGATGAGTAAGTACAAATAGGGGACACAACTCCGTACCAAAGTTGGGTATGAACAATGATAAAGGTTCAAGACTGCTATGTCTTATTTGGCATAGCATCCTAAGTAGCTTTAAAATCATTTCCCCCAGTGTTTTATTTTTATCTGATTTGTGACAAAGTTCAAAATCACACTGAAATAAAATTTGTAGATGATTTCTTGTTTAGCTTAGACACATTTAATTTCCCTGTTATTATCATTTGACTTTTTCAGTACATTTAAATTACAGTTAACATCATAATGAATTTTTACAGAAATTTTAAAATCTACCCTAAGTCAATGTTAAACATGCTATGGTATAAGTATACATTGTAACAGAGTGTATTCATCTCTTTAATACATGTATATCAGAAATTGGGGAAATCTTGGTGATAAAGATATACACAAAAAATTTCAAGTCTGAGATACATTGAACTAAGAAAATGGCTACCATATTAATAGCTTTTTTTCCCCTCCAAATATGACTTTTAAGGAAATATCCATTTACCAGTAGTAAACAATGAAAATATAATTTTGGTGCTGTTAAATGTTTAATATTGATTTTAAAATTTCAAATGTTCCGTATGGAAAATAAATCCATATTCAATTAAAAATGTTAAACTTTTTGCTCAAGAAAACATCCTTCACACTAAATAATTTATCTTGTTTCATATTCTTGAAAGAATGAAAGTATGACATGGTACAGCAAATTAGGGAGGAGTAAACTATGTGTACAAATCAATAAATATCACAAATGTGATATTTAAGGAGAAAAAAAATGTTGCCTTATTTGCATTAAATTCTTATGAGTAATCTACCATAAATTGATTTATATTCAATTTTCTAATATGTCTGGATTGATGTATAATTTGTAGGAGGTGATAGATCTCACAGAAGAACTGATTGGAAACAAACAGTTGGCGGCCATTGCAGCTGATGCCAATATCTCGGGAACCAGCCTCGGATCAACGGAGGACGCGGTGCCTGTAGAATGGCAAGTCGGAGACACGTGCCTGGCCATCTGGACCAAAGATGGACAGTGAGTTTACGTTATTTCTATCCTAAAAGTAACAGTAAAACTGATGCTTACTTACTTGAAGATGACATTTTGTTCAGGAATATACATGTATATTCACATTCAAAAATTTTATTATGTATCAAAGATTTTGAATTATCCAGTTTTCAAGGTCGGATGTTTCTATTCAAAAAAAGCACAACAAATTAATAAACTTATTGAGACAGAGTTTGCAAAAGTGACTGATATGATACGAGCATAATGTGACTGCATGTAACCATGGTTAAAGTCAGCATGGATGATATAAACTTTACATACAGTCATACAGTTTATGCCTTTCTTCATTCTTCCATGTATATTCAGATACTATGAAGCAAAAATTGATGAGATATTGGAAGATGGCACCTGTGCAGTAACTTTTGATAGCTATGGAAACACAGATGTGACAGAGGTTTGTTGAGTTTGCAAATTTGCCCATCCCATGCATACCTGCATGCTATTAATGAAATACTAATGAAGATTTTTTTTTTTCTTACAATTGACATGTAGTATTTTTACTTTTGTCTATTCTTCAATTACTTACATCAATAATATATATGCAGGTTAAACTTTTAAGAAAAGTTGATCCAGCCCAACAGAAAAAGGATTCAGAAAAGAAAACTAAGTCAAAGTAAGTAGTACAAGTATTAAATCACTGGAAATAAAAATGTGTTTTTAACCTGATTTTTTTTAGAATAAGGATTGAAATGTTTAACCTGCCTGTTAGACTCTCTATATGTCAAAAGTTAAAGCTTTCATTATTCCATGTCTGAATTTGATATATTTTTCCTAACAGAAGGAAGAATAGAGTAAGATACCTGTGTATACAGTGTTATTATGTTCTACTTTGAGGTTTTAAAAATTCCTAAGTACTTTCTTCATATTTTTAAAGAGCAACCACATACACAGATTTATATACTCCATTTGGAATGTTTATTCATTATTTCCAAAATTTGCAAGTACATGTATTTTTGTATATGTATTTACAAACAATCTTATCATGGTTAAATTTCAATTTAATGTGGAATATTGAAATCCTGCACTTCTATAAATTGTAGACGAGATATAATAGCGGAACAGAAGGAATACAGGAGGAAGAAACAACAGAAGAAAGCTCAGCGACTAAAACAGATGGAGGAGGAACGGGAAGTGGAGAAGAACAAGTGGCTGGACTTTAACGCAAAGGTATTAAGTCACTCAGAAATTAAAATAATAGACACAAGTATTTTATATCACAAAATGTCTCTTGGACAACAAATTGCAAGACCTGATTTAGAGATTTACATGTCAATAAGATATAAATTTATTTTGTGAATGTTTCTTCTTGTGAAATTATTTACGTAGTAATCAAATCCTCATGTATATTTAGGAATCTGTAGATGAGAGTTCCCCATCATAAACTTAAAGGAATATTCCAGTACATCCCTCGAACACACCAATGCATTCATAAGAGCTTCTCTCTTTAGAAAGTAATTCATTAGTGTAGAGCTTCAAGGACACTATATCTTGTTAAGTCACTTCCTCTTTTTTTCCGCATTTCAAATGAAGTGATTGGCATGCTTTCTTAAAAGTATAATTATTTTTAAGAATCACTGCTTGGTATTCCTAAAATTTACACTCAGAATGGTCTTGATGATTTCAGGTGAAAAGACCGTCTGATTTTCTGCAGCTTTACTCTTGATAAATACATGTATATGACCAAAAGCCTGTTCAACAAGAGCCAGCGCTCGCAAACATTTCTATTGGATGTATAAGGAATTTTGGCAAGCGCTCATTAATGTTGGCTCTGTTGAACAGGCCTCTGGTTTTCCTTTTGCTTTCTGAGTACATCCTGGTATTGGCCTTTTAATTTTGATTGATAGTCATTAAAATGTTTAGTTTTGCTAAAACAAGAGCAGAATCTGTATTGAAAGGCTGAGAGTAAGGGGCCTATACTGTATATAAATGTTATAAATTTTTAGTCAAGACTTCAAGGGACAGTAAGTTTTGACTGAAGCAAGAGGTGTACTTTTCACTGGAAACATTTACATGTAATGTAATGTGGGTTTTTTTCCAGACATTTGCCAAAACAAACAAAGGGAAGGTGAAAAAGAGTATTTTTGCTACACCAGATGCAGCCAACGGAAAAGTGGGAGTCGGCACCTGTGGGCAGGGAGGAAGGCCAATGACCTCATTTCAGCATGCAGAAAAATGGAGGAAATGAATCGAGGATTCCATGTTATGTAGACTCTTCGGTGCTCATGTACTAGTGTTGGGAGGATATTTTGAAGTCAGCAAGCTAACCTCTCTTAGAGGGCAGCAAATATGTTGAATGGATGAATAGTGGTCATGATAAATCCAAGCTTTTTTTCAAACTTTAGACTGAGAGATTAGTATGTTGCAATTTGACAACAGCGGCCTCTATTTTTATTTTTATTAGTTTTAACATGTAATATTTTTTTCACAAGAATACTTTTTCCTTGTAAAAATAAATATAATTTTCAAAAAGGAAATAATCCTCAGTCAGTTTATTGAACTTTGAATTACATGAAATACATATGTCTGAAAGAAAAAAATATACAGCACAACTCATTTACACATCACAGAATTATTCAGAAGACATAGGCATAACATTACATTTATATGTTAAGCATACTGTTTACAACATTTGTAACACACACTGGCAAGCATATTATGAATGGATTTGTAAGGAAATATGAGAGGGACTTTTTTTATTTGTACATTTATTTTTCATATTTTACAACATGTAAATGATCATGAACAATTTAGTATTATTGTGTATGGTATCATGCCCAATAGATTGTAAAATGTTCATTTTGTGACTTATAATAATATTGTCTTGTAAAAGTGTAGTAGTGAAAGTTAACAGAAAAATCCAAATTATGTAATTGTGATTACACAAGTTTATTGTGACAGAAGTCTTTCCTAATACGAAAAATTCAAATAATTGCAAATGTTCAGAGTATTCTAAACAATTAAAAGAAAAAACAAAATATACTTCAAAATAAGAAATTTATAACTTAAAACAAAATTCATAGATTACTTAATGGTTAATTTAGAGCAATGTTATATTCAAATTCAGAATAACTTCTTTTAAAACAGCAGTTACCTTTTTTTTTCTCCTTGAATTCCAATGGAGTTTAAAATTGCATTAATTTGTGACTTAATTTGAACTTGTAGCATAAATGTAAGGAGAGGGGGTAATAGGGTGAACGATTTTGTGCCAAATCCCTTTTTAATTACCGTAAAATTACTATATCAGATGTTTAACCCAATGTCAAGGAAATTCAGGTTTACCTTTAACATAGTATAATACCTTTATTATATATATCTGTATCGGAGTATATTTATATTAAAAATAGTCTGATATGTCAAATTTTTACTACTTATATAAATATGGGATAAAACATATGGTAAACAAAATTTTTAAGTAGTATTTCTTAATTTATGATTAATTAACAAATGTCAAAAGTGTCAATGCCATGAATTGATACTCAAATTTGGGAACACTTGGCAATTTGCTCTTCAAAGCCTTGATAATTCTTATATATTCCTTTGAAAAACAAACATATTTTACAAGTACTTCAATCTGGGACTACCAATTTGTAACAAAAATATTTAAGTTATATTTTACTAACACTACTATTCTCATCCAACAAACAGGTATCAACTAGCTTGGTGTGTAGGATCTACTACTAAAGCACTAGTCTAATAAAATTCTAAATATGAACTTTTTTCTCTAATATACATCACAATCCTGAACAAAAACAAATTAAAAAAAAAAATAAAACAACTAAATGAGTAAGATAAATGAGGTCCGGTAAATTAACGGTATAACTTAAATTATAAGTTCTGGAAATCAATTCTGGAAGTTGGTAATTAAACATAAGCAAAGGCAAGAAATTAGATATACAAATTGCACCATCTTCACCTACAAGTCGACATGTTCAATTTACTGCTGCAGAACTGTAGCTCTACAAAAATATATATTGACAGACCGGAGAGCTACAGTGCCACCCATTGTAAAAACAGTATATTTATTGCACACAAAAAGCTGTGCTTAGTTCTAGATCAATACTTCTAAATTCTTACCTTGAAAGATAAATATTTAAAGAATTCTTACTTCTCCATCAAGTACTCTCATAGTCAACATCTGCACAAAGTGCTCTGGACTGAATGATCTTGCAAAACAAAATGGCAGTATATAATTAGACGAAATTCTCGATAATCTCGATTTCAGGACAGGAGGGCTATTAACATCATTATAAGGAATGCATTGTTGTGGAAACAGCGAAAGCATATTTTAGGAACACACGGTTAAGTAATATTCTGAGATGACTGTTTCAAAATATGGAGAAAAAGAAACAGCTCTGACACTTTATTGTGCACAATAAGTACACAGTTTTTCCAATGGGTGGTACTGTAGCTCTCCGGTCTGTCAAAATATATTTTTCAGAGAGCTACACTTCTGTGGCTATAATTTACTTTATCTGGTACACACTAAGAGGCAAATTGAACATTTGGCTTTTATAGATGGTACCATACATATATTTGAACAAGAGATGTTTGTAAAACACTTGTGCCCCCTCCCCCAAATTGGAATTTTTCCAAGTCCAAGGGGCATTGCTCTATCAAAAGTACGTAAGGGTTGCCCGCAACCCTGTGTCTCGCCTGCTGTCGCTGTGGTTAGTAAGAAATGATTGTCTGATAAACTGAAGCATTTATTGACATTTCAGAAGGAATAACCCAAAAATACAATAATAAAGAAATGGAACAGCTGACTTAATATCTAATCCCTTGGCGATTATATTGGCATTTATATATATATACATATACCCTGTAAATTCACAAATTATTGTGATGTTTTTATTATTGCGAATATTGCAACGTGTTATGAGTCGCAATAATTTGAACTTGCATTTTGAAATCAAATCCACTGTATATGTATCAAGTCATTCATGCAGAAAATGTAGGTGAAGATTACCTAATTATGGTACTGATATTGTTGGTTACCCATGATGTGTAGACTGACAAATTATCATGCCACTATAAGTTATAGTTGCTGAGATATGGACCTCCACCATAAATTTATGCAAAGTCACTCATGCGGAAAAATGTAGGTCAAGATGACCTAATTCTGGTACAGGCGTTTGTGGTTACCCATGATGTATCCACTGACAAATTATCATGCCACTATAAGTTATAGTTGCTGAGATATGGACCTCCACCATAAATTTATGCAAAGTCACTCATGCGGAAAAATGTAGGTCAAGATGACCTAATTCTGGTACAGGCGTTTGTGGTTACCCATGATGTATCCACTGACTAACTATCATGCCACTATAAGTTATAGTTGCTGAAATATGAACCTCCATTATCAATTTAACCAAAGTCATTCATGCAGAAAAATGTAGGTCAAAATGACCTAATTCTGGTACTGATGTTGTTGGTTACTTATAACCTGTACAATGACAAATCATCATGCCATTATAAGTTATAGATGCTGAGATATGGACCTCCACCAAAAATTTAACCAAAGTCACTCATGCAGAAAAATGTAGGTCAAGATGACCTAATTCTGGTACTGACGTTTGTGGTTACCCATGATGTATCCACTGACTAATTATCATATCCCTATAACTTATAGTTGCTGGAATATGAACCTCCATTATCAATTTAACCAAAGTCATTCATGCAGAAAAATGTAGGTCAAAATGACCTAATTCTGGTACTGATGTTGTTGGTTACTTATAACCTGTACAATGACAAATCATCATGCCATTATAAGTTATAGATGCTGAGATATGGACCTCCACCAAAAATTTAACCAAAGTCACTCATGCAGAAAAATGTAGGTCAAGATGACCTAATTCTGGTACTGACGTTTGTGGTTACCCATGATGTATCCACTGACTAATTATCATATCCCTATAACTTATAGTTGCTGGAATATAGGTCTTCACCATAAATTATCATGAAAAAACTAAGTCCAACTTAAGGAAAAAATACGGAAAAATTTGAATTTTTTTTTTCAAAATCATACTTGGGATATAAATTTTTATCCATACTGAATATTGTGTCCAAATTTCAAGAAGACTGAATAAAATTTGAGAAAGTTATTGCAGTTTATAAAACTTTGACATTTGGGTTAACCAAAAGTTGGACGCCGACGACGACGACGACGACGGAATCTATGGTCGCTATGTCTCGCTTCGCGACATTCGTCGCAGGCGAGACAAAAATGGTGCGATCGCACCCAAAACAGAACTTGACCTACATATTCAGCTGATAAATCTGTATACCAAATTTCATTTCGATCTGTGCAACCTCTGCAAAGAAAATGAATCGAAACTGAAAAAATTTTCTAGGTCCAAGGGGAATAACTCTGACAAAAATGGTGCGATTGTACCCAAAACGAAAGTTGACCTAGATATAAAGCTGATAAATCTGTATATCACATTTCATTTCAATATGTGCAACCTCTGCAAAGAAAATGAATGGAAACTGCAAAAATTTAAAAATTTTCTAAGTCCAAGGGGCATAACTCTGTCAAAAATGGCGCGATTGTACCCAAAACAGAACTTGACCTAGATATTTATCTATAAATGTGTATACCAAATTTCTTTCAGTATGTGCAACGGTAGTGAAGAAATTGAACGGAAACTAAATGGACCAACAGACAAACCGACAGACAGCAGCAAAGCAATATGCCCTCCCTTCTTCGAAAGGGGGCATAACAAAAATAATAATACAACAAAAGCTCTGGCTTTTGCCATAATATATTAGTATTTCTGCAGATACACATGTATATCATACATGTATTTAACAAAAATACATAAGATATAATGAAAGCTCTAATTCCTTTTGCATAACTTCATGTTTCCCCATTTTAAAAAATAACCTTAAAAGTCACCTGAGTATCTAGCAAAAAATATTTTACACATTTTTACCTACTGGACCATTTTTCCAATGCAAAACTGATGTGTATGCAGTATTTTTTTTATAATGAGATGTGTGGTGACAATATATCATTTTCAAAAAACTTTTATACTTCTAGCAAAAAATGTGAAAAATTATGATATTTAGCATTACTCTGGTGACCTAAAAAATCCAAGAATCTCATAAAACATGAAACAAGAGGCCCAAGGACCTTGAATCGCTCTTCTGATAAATTGTACAATCTATCACTTCTATTAGAAGCCTCCAACTCTATTAGTATCATAAGACCCAAAGTGCATCAACTTACAAAGTTTGATAATATTTAGCAGTTAAGACTGAAGATATTATGATATAATTATAAAATACTATAAGTAGGTCACAGTGACCTACTTTTTGATTGAAATTTTCTGAGGACTCAAGATACATTAATTGACAAAGACTGATGATTCTAATTAAATAAGTACCTGAGATATTCAAAAGTAGGTCATCATGACCTACTTTTGGTCAACATTCTCTGAAAACCCAAGATGCATCATCTGACAAAGATTGACGATTCTAAGCCAATTAGTACCAGAGATAATTCAATATAGCCATCAAATGTCAAAAGTAGGTTACGGTGACCTACTTTTTGGTCGACGTTATCCAAAAACCCAAGATGCCTAAACTGACAAAATTTTATGATTCTAAGCCATTAAGTACCTGAGAGGTATTCAAAAGTAGGTCACCGTGACCTACTTCTTGTTGGACATTCAATGAAACCGTAAGATGCCTCAACTGACAAAGTTTGATGATTCCGAGCCAATAAGTACCAGATATCATTAAATATAGCCATAAAATGTCAAAAGTAGGTCACTGTGACCTACTTTTTGGTCGACAATCTCTGAAAACGCAAGATGCATCAACTGACAAAGTTTGATGATTCTTAGCCAATAAGCGCCTGAGATACTTAAATATAGCCATGAAATGTCAAAAGTAGGTCACCATGACCTACTTTTTGGTCGTCACTCTCCGAAAATCCAAGATGCATCAACTCACAAAGTTTGATGATTCTAAATCAATAAGTACCGGAGATACTAAAATAAAGCCATAAAATGTCAAAAGTAGGTCACCATGACCTACTTTTTGGTCGTCACTCTCCGAAAACCCAAGATGCATCAACTCACAAAGTTTGATGATTCTAAGCCAATAAGTACCGGAGATACTTAAATAAAGCCATAAAATGTCAAAAGTAGGTCACCATGACCTACTTTTTGGTCGTCACTCTCCGAAAGTCAAATATGCATCCACTCACAAAGTTTGATGATTCTAAGCCAATAAATACTTAAGATACTTAAATATAGCCATAAAATGTCGAAAGTAGGTCGTCGCGACCTACATTTTGGTCGACATTTTTCAAAGACCCAAGACGCATCTACTGACCAACTTTGATGATTGTAGGTCTGAAGGTAATCAAAATATGCGTTTTAAACAATTTGAAAACAAATATCGGCAAAATTCAAAAAGTAGGTCACAGTGACCTACTTTTTCATAAATATGTTTTAAGGTCCCAAGATGCATCAAAGTACAAGATTTGATGATTCTAAACCTCCCTGTGTCTGAAATAATGGGATTTAATGTTTTTAAAAGGATAAGGCATAAAGTTCAAAAAGTAGGTTACGGTGACCTACTTTTAAGTTGACATTGTTCAAGGACCCAAGATGCATCAACTGACAAAGTCTGATGATCATAGGCCTTAAAGTGTCCAAAATATGCCTTCAAATCAATTTGGAAACAAATCCCTGCAAAATTTAAAAAGTAGGTCACCGTGACCTACTTTTGAGCTAACATGATGTGAAGTCGTAAGATGCATCAACTTACACAATTTGATGATCCTAGTCCTTATAGTGAGCAAAATATACACGTTTTTATTAATTGTAAATTTAGGTCAACTTTGAAGTGACCTTGAGACCACGCCCTTTGCCCCAGGGTTATTCCCCTTAATCTTCGACATATCCTGATCCTTGTATGTAAGTTTGGTGAAAATCTGCCTGGTGGTTATGGAGAAGAAGATTTTTTAGCAACCAGTACTTTTGGTTTTGTTTTCCTGATTATCTCCCCTTGTTTACAGGTCCCAACCCTTATTTTAGTATAAATGGTAGCCCTTGGGCCAAGGATACCCTGTGACAAATTTGGTACTGATTGGCCAAGGGGTTCTTGAGTTATGGCCCATATTCTAAAAAGTTTACACACACCGCACAAATGGCCATAGCATTAGCTCTTTGAGCCTTTGGCTCAGAAGAGCTAAAAACTACATTTGATATAATTGGCAGCATAATTCTAACAAGCAGTGAAAGGTACAGAGTCATCATGCTTTCTTTTAACCCCCAATGATTCCTCACTGTTGGAGGGATAACCCTTTGTGAATAATAATCCTGGAATAAGACCTCGTGCTCTATTTGTTTGTTCCGATTTGTACGTGGTCAGAAAGTAGAAATTAACGTTCTGAGTCACAACACTGGCCATTCCTGCGTCCCCCCAATGACTATCCCAGCCGTTCTTCTGAACAAACACAGAGTACCGTACATCTGGCTCTAATTTAATGGAGTTGGGGAATTTCAATTTGAAGATAGTTTTTTCTGGTTCAACATTGACTTGTTTTGTCACATCTGTTAACACTCTGTCATGATCACAGTCTTCCAATGCTGCATAGACATCCACCATGTCAAGACCATTACCAGGCCCTCCATACAATAACAGCCCAGTCAGAATTATTTTAACATCAACGTAGAAATCTATCCTCCCTGTCTTACGCCCCCATTTGACATCAATTCTGTCGTAAGAGAACCGTTTGCAGATGTACTGGTCCGTTCCTCTGCGTTTTCTGACACAAAACTTAGTCTGACAAATTTGAACCTCTTCCATTTGTCGGGTCACATCTTGTATTTCTTTCTCAGACAAAATATCAGTCTTGCACACTGTGTCGTTAAAGAAATGCATATTCATGATGGGAAACCTAATACAATAAAGGCAGCTCCCAAGAACATTTCTTCTGTTTAGGCCAGTGTCCTCTAACTGTGAATTCTGACATTGCAATGAAGCCCAGTCCATTGCTCTGTGAAAAATCTCTTCCTCATTCATAACCAAATCATCCAATAGAAGCACTTTGCCCAGACATTCACTACACAGAGAGAGGAAGTTTTCAGCTTCGAATGCCCCGGGAGCATCTTTTATAAACTCTACACAATGACTCCTGACTGTTTCCTTGTTGAAGCAGTGAGCACTCTCCAGGACTGAGCAGACATTTTCTGCTGTGAGGTTCTCCATGAGAAAGTTGACACACTTATCCTCCAGCCCCACCATGGCATATTTGTTTGCAGCATGCATTACAGCAAGAACATCGTCTCCTGATAAGGTAACATCATCTGTGTATATATACCTGAAAAAACATTTTGTAAAATAAAATACATGTACAGCTTAAAATGCATGGTACTAATTTTGAAGAATATAATGGACACCTGTGTATCAAAGCAAGTTTTATTAAACCAAATTAAATTTTGTTGGCCCTGTCAGACCTACTTATTAATAATATTTGTAAACACTTGGAATATTGTTCATTCCAATCAAAGCCCCCAACAGCCAACACACAATAAGAGGGGGTTTGAGTGTTCAAATTGTAGTACATTTACAGTACATTAAATGGATTTGAAAACTCATGCACAAAGATTGACATGTACAATCAATCTGAAAATGCTCTTTTCCATACTGATTAAATACCCTGTAATATTCAAACAGACAAATCTGTTCAAAGCACTTTTTGTCACAAATGCAATGCAGGAAAAGATTTCTATAACAACATGATCAAATCATTTTTACTTATCATTGAATTTCATGTTGATTTTTTTATTGAAATTTAAAAAAAGAAATTTTGATATTAAAACATGAAATTGAATATAAAGTTTTTTACTTGAGAAGACTCTTGAAAGTATGAGGTTCCATATCTGTGATTAAGATGTCCTCCTTCTCAGCTAAAGGTCCATACAGCATAGCATAGAATACTGCACTGCGACTCCCCAGCACATACTTGTGTGCCCTGATCACCTCTCTACTCTCCCCCACTCTGAAGGTCACATCACAGTCTATCTGATTATCAAGCATGTAACTGTTACACTCCGCAAGAGTCTTTCCTATCTGCCATTCTCTGTCCATACTTAACCTGCGCAAACAAAATATATCTGCAATAAAACAGTGCTTGAAATTTGCTGTCAAATCAAGTAAATTTTATTCATAGTCAGCATATAAATATTCTATAACACAAATAACATATGAGCTGTGGTAGCTCTTTAACCAACTTTAACTTATTTACGCAAAGATAAAATTTTAGTAAAAAGATACATAGCTAGTAAAGAAACATAATTTAAATGAACCATTAAAATGAAACAGTTAAGGATAAGATTAAGAAATAAGCATAACAGATACATGTACTAACAATGACCAAAAAAAAAATTAAGTAAATAAAGAAGCACCATAAATTATTTTGCACATGTATGACTATCACAAGTAAGAGGAAATACAACTCACAATACAGCACAAACAATTACTATAATAAGCACTGAACATGCTGATGGAATAAATATATTAAAAGTTAAGGGTTTTTAATTAGGAGTACAAGTAATACATATACATGTGTAACGGGAGAGGAGAAAATGCAGCGGACCAGACCGGGATTTGAACACAGGCCCACTGAAACTCTGGTCAGGTGCTCTACTAACTAAGCTATCTGGCTACCAGCGATCAAATGGTCACAGATACACATGCAGTTGCTCGACTTTTCCTTCTTCAAAGAAATCTGGTGAAATTTTCTTTTAAATTATCCAGTTTTATTCACGTAATTGAAGAGGCATCATCCCCGGCAGGCCTCTCACCTGTCTGGGGCCCCCTGAAACTCTGGTCAGGTGCTCCCTATCAAATTGCCGGCATGCTCTACTAATTTGAGCTATCTGGCTAGTGACATGATAATATTTGGGGGGGGGGGGGGGACCGCCACACATTTTAAATAACTGTACAAATTGTGATAGTTCCGGGATTGACCAAGCAAAAGGTTTATTAACCCGAAATAATTTTGATTTTAATCAGTTTTATTGCCTATGAAAAAACATATATGTTGTTATGTTGACTGTCTTGCAAATGGTAAGAGTTGCTCAAAAGATGCCTTTCAGTTGTGTTGCCGTTATTAAATTCTTGCAAAAATTATATGGAATAATTGAAAGGTGTCTGGCTTACTTGTGGGGATCATATTATGATAGAGCCTACAATACATTTAATCTTTTACAATAAATGATACTGATCAGATTATAATATTTTTGTCTTTCATTGTTGATACATGACTCATTTTCAGCCTCAGGCCAATCAGTACAAGCAGGTCCCTGGTGCAAGCAATTTACCTACCTGATGATGAAATTCGAAAGGTGATTATTCGAAATGCCTTCTTAAAAAATAAAATATAATGTTATGCCATCAAATCAAAATAGACTTGGACGCTGGAATTTATTAGGCTTTCTTTTTTCAATTTTGTCATCTGCGAACTGCGAAATAGGACCGGACGTAAATAAACAATTCTAAATTTAAAACCTACAGATATCCGAATTGTGAAACCGTAAAACTTATAAGGAGATATATGAAATATCTATATACTACGGCCTTGATATTATGAACGATTATTTTCTTTTATTCATAGACGTTTACAAAAATAATCTTACACGAAATTTTAATCCATTAAAAAATATGCGTACTTTTATAAAGTTTAAGCATCATTCTTGAAATGAGTCAATAAGAAGCAACGCTAACATCCGGTTGTGAAATGTAAAAAAGGGAAAACTGGGTTCTGTTTATAGATAGACATTCGTAATTACACTGTACAGTACAGGCGCTAAACGATCATGGTAGTTTGCAAATTTTTTATGCAAGGATATTGTAGGTTTGGTGACAACTGTAAATTTGAACATCCAAGAGGAGGAAACGCAGGCAAGTTAAAGTAAATTACTAAAATCTGAAAAACAACAAGATATTGTTCTCACACAAGTCATGTCACACTCAGTCACAGTTCTGTAATACATTACCTCATTTCAAAATACACAAAGCAGGAATCAAAACACCAAATAAAATGCAAGAAAACATCAGATTAGTGTTTAGCTCACCTGAGCTGAAAGACAGTGCCCACTGAATCACCTGGTCAGGTGCTCTTCAACTAAGCTAGCTGGCTACCAGCGGTAAACCCGACTACCGGCCCAACACACCTCGGCCTCCTGCTGATTGACACCTCGGCCCTGACAGGTCGGCTCAAAATCATTGACACCTCGGCCCAAACCGAAGACTGCTCGGCCCAAGGAATAAAATTAAATTTAGTTTGTTTAAATTAGTTTAATTTTTATTTTTTTTATTTTGTATTTTCTATGGTAATGTAAATGTATACTATGTATATATAATCACTATAAATATATGAAAATTTTCAGTATTTCAGTATTTTCTAACAAACCACAGCACAACATCAAATTACAATCCGTTGATTGGGAGGTAACAGGTCTATTTATTTATTGACTTTGTTGTTTATTACAATGCAACATTATACATTACTTTATTAGCCATTTTTAAAAAATGTTTGGTTGCCTTCTGGGGATCACTGATTAAAATTGTCTACCTGCAATACATTTAATTGAATTTACAATAAATGATGTGTAAACCAATAGGTCTACACAGAAGTTATATATTTTACTGTTTAATTTTAAAAACTCATATTTTTTTCAAATCAATTCAATAAAATATCAACAATGGTTTCTTAAAGGAACTTTTCATTAACGGCTTCTTGTAATTAACTCCTCATAGTCACCACCCCCTATGACACGCGCTCGAGACTTCAAAGGATGCACTGCGTCTTCTTGTTTGTTTAATGATTAGCACTTATAATCAAGTTACTAATGGGTTGTCTTTCTTTAATTACCGTCAATTTGACGTCTTGGAAGATCGAATGTATCAAATTAATTTTCTTTTTCACTTCATAGATATATAAAAGCATAAATAATAAATATATTTATTAAAATGATATATTTTTGTTTGAACCGATTATTCTTTTATGTGAGCCGAGGTGTCTTTAAATTTCCGAGCCGAAATTTTAATCCATGTCAAAAATATACATTTTTATAAAGTGTCGTTGGGCCGAGCATTCTTGAAATGAGTCGTAGCCGCTACGTAACATCTACGCTCTTGAAATGTAAAAAAGGGCCTAGCCGCTATGTATGGAGAGCTAGCATAAGTATTTAATGCAACGTCCAAAATCCAAGATGGTTTCCTTAGTTACAAGTTTGCAGTACATAAGGTTTTAACAAAAAGGAGGTTTATTTTATTTATCTTAGTTATCAAATGAAAATTTACATATTTATTTTTGCTTGAAATAAACTTTTTGTGTCCCAAAAATAAATTATTATTTATATATTTTTATTCAAACTTTAACACTTAGCTGCTAGGTAAGCTGTCTGTTCAGTAGAGATAGATATCTAACACCTAGCTGCTAGGTTAGCCGCTAGGATTTTGAATGCAGCCCTGGTGTCCACATGTCCGTCTGTCTGTATTTTTTAAAAAAAAATACATTTTTAACTTCTTCTCAAAAACCTTTTGTAGATTTTTTTTTCTTCAAAAGTTAGTACTACTCAACATCTGTCACACTGTGGGTGAAGGGAAGTTTAAATTCTTGAAATAATTGACCAAGCCTCATTCTAAGGGGAGATAATGAAGAGAAGGCAAAAATAGGATGGGGTCCTTAAAAATCTTCTCAGGGATCACTGGACCAGAAAAGGTTAAACTTATGTAGAAACATCCTGGTGTAGTGTAGATTAAAATGCTCAAATCATGGCCCCAGGGGTAGTGTTGTGTTACAATAGTTGATAAAAAGTTTTGCATTTCAAATTATAGGAAAAATCTTTTTGAATCTTATTGTCAAGAAAAATGGGGGTAAAAATGATGAAGTTTTAGAGGTAGTGAAGATTCTATAATGTTCTAAATTGTTCAAATCATTGTCACCGAGGGTGGGGCCACAATAGGGAATCAACATTTTGAAACCTTAGAATCTTTAAAAATGCTCTTATCAAGAACTGTTGGGTTAGAAAAGATAAACTTATGTAAAGACTTCATATGGTAGTTTTTATTATATTAAAATCATCATATCCCCTTTGGGTAGGATGGGGCCAAAATGAGGAATCAAAATATTACAAGGGGAAACATTTGATGAAGAAAAGCAGGGTCAAAGTGTTTCAGATGAGCATTGTTGCTGGTGGTCCTCTTGTTTTTATTTTTCTCTATTTCTTATAGATTAAAAACTAAGATTTTGGACAAATATACTCTTTGCAATGTTTAGTGAATAACAAGTCACTCCGTGATCTATAATCTAATTAAGTTTGGTTTTTTTCTCAGGTTATGCATATTCTGCACAGAGGCAGCTCTTCGGAGGTGGTGGGGGTGGTGGATCAAGATTTGGAGGTGGGGCAGGACAAAATCCATACAAATGGACAGCTAATGATCAACAAAGAACACAAAACAAACCAGTGTCCCAGCAGACTTCTCCAAATGACCTAATGTAAATGTTGATTGGTCACATAATTATACCCCCTGCTTAAAAAGCGGGAGAGTATATAGTAATCGGTATGTCCATTCGTCTAGCTGTCCGTCCGTCCGTCTGTTACACTTTGGGTACCCATCTCTTATCCTCAACTCCTCTCATACCACTGAATGAAATTTGATGAGACTTTCACAGAATCTTTATTACATATTGCCATTGTGCTCTTCCTATTTTTCTTTTTGATCCGGCACATATTTTGGGTTTCCCATAGCAATACATGGACACTGCCATTATATTCATATGGGAGGGGGATGGTATCATTTAGTGAGCTCTTTACTCACAGTACCTCTAGTTATTACTGTGTTGATTGTTTGACCAATGGGGTGAGTGCAGTTTTGTGTCACTCGGAATCTATTCAATTGAATAACCTTTTTAAATCTTAGGAGACATTTGGATAATCTAGACTGCTTCTAAATGACATGTATGTTAGCTGTATTTTCAAAGTGTAAAGGTCTCTAAAGGTCATCAGTGTCCAGGAATCTGATTTTTTTCTTTGTTGTAAGAGCTTGCAGTGCAAGTGGTGCTTTGCATTACATTTGCAATGGGTTTCAAAAGGAATGTATGGACAAATACATGTAATATCAGAGAGAGAGAGAGAGAGTCTGCACTAAATATGCTAGAATGTCTGATTACCAGTTTTAATTAAATTATTTTCTTTTATCTTTGTCACAGGTTTAATTCCACAGATGATAAATTTATTACTTAATACTTGTACAACATTTACAACATTTTTTTCTGTTTATTTGGATTTATTCTGTTTGTGTCATTTAAAAAAATTAGTGTAGTATTGATTTGTTTACCTTAGAAACACATTAATATCAGAGGTGAAAGAACTGGAGAAGACAAAAATGTGGCCATTTTCATGCATTGGATTTGAAAAAGATGAGTGTGTTCCAGTCATGTATTGGAGAGAAAGATGTGTTCCAGGTAAATTAGAGAGAAATTAATGAGTTTAGTGTGAGGAGCTCAGAATTTATCTTTCAATCTACAGGTATATTAAGTTGAAGGTTAGAAAAAAAAATGTTCATATTTCATATATTACTGAAGTTTTTTAAAAATCAGATCTCATTATCTTGAACTCAATGGTACTGTGTAAAAATTGAGAGATATCTAAGGGTTCTGATAGTGTTCAAGATATTGAAGGTAAAATGCAAAGAGAAAAAGGTGGTTAGGATGTCCAAATGGCTTTGACATATCCACGGCATTTGATGTTGAAGGTTAGAAAAAAAAATGTTCATATTTCATATATTACTGAAGTTTTTTAAAAGTCAGATCTCATTATCTTGAACTCAATGGTACATAATACTAAAAATGCAGTCTCTATCTTCTATGGTTGAATCGTTATGGCAAAGGTACGAAAAAACTATTTTTAGCATACATGTCACAGTCAAGGTCACAAGGTCATTGACCTTGGTGTCATTTGAAAGAACTTAATTAGTGTAGTAGGCATATCAAATATGAAGTCCTTATCTTTCACCACGGCATTAATGCTGAGATACTGAAGTTCTACATATCCATGTACAGTCAAGGTCATTGACCTTGGTGTCATTTGAAAGAAATTGATTAGTGAAGTATGGATACCAAATATGAAGTCTGTTTCTCTTGCGGTTCAAAAGTTATGGCAAAGGTAATGCTGAGATACTGAAGTTCTACTGTACACTAATGCTGAGATACTGATATTCTACTGTACACTAATGCTAAGACACTGAAGTTCTACTGTACTTATATTTTGGCAGATTTTGAGGACACTTCACCAGAGGAGTTAAGACATCTGGCATATGAAGCGCAAAAATCAAATAATTTTCAAGGATATGTAAGTAAATACATGTATTAGCTCTTTCAAGGGCATTGATTTGGGAGAATGTGTCTTCAATTGACATATACCTTTGAAATTAGCTTGCTGGTTTTTCTACATCATTCATGTAGAATCAAAGTTAAACTCCATCATGAAAACTTTAAAAATTGTTTGTCCACTATGTTGTAGATAGACTATGTCCAAAATCTACAGAATGAGGTCCACAAAAAGAGGCAAATGCTTGCAAACCCTCCCATGCGCATCAAGCAGAAAATGGTAAATATTTTATATTGTTTTACAATATTCTAAAAATAGAACCTTTGATGAATAAGGTTGTGTAAAATACTTCAGTTAAGTTACTTTTTGACACATATACATGTTTATGTCAGAGAAAATTTTAGCAGAGATGAACTGTGCAAGAATTTTAATATTCTACTGTACTCATCACAACTGGTATTGATTCATTACTGTGTATTTTTGTAGCTCTCTCTGATTGATGACTATCGATTACGAAAAAACAGGTGAGTTTGAAATCTACATGAATATAAAAGAACATTTTATAAAGAAAACATAAATTCATGCAAAATGAGATCTTCGAAACTTGCTTTAAATATCAAGTAAACCAGAGAACAAAGGGGAATCACTAATTTCATGGGGATATAATTTCAATTGTTTTCATGGTATAAAGAAGACCACAAATTCATGTCCTTCAAGATATGTAAATTTTGAAAATAAAAGATAGCAACTTACCCTGGTAATCATTTCATCATCCATTAAATCAAATCCTGAGAAATCAATATTTTTCCTCTTAAACCATGAAAATTCGAAATTAATGTGATTGTATAGTTCAACCCATTGAACATAAAATTTTTAAAAATCTTTATCTCATTTTAAGGCTTGAAAAAAATTAAGCATGATTTGAAAGAAAAGCAGAATGGGGAACTTGTCTGTTTTGTAAAACTTGTTCGTGTCTTTGAGATAATGTAGAAATGTTCCAGATACTCTGGTAATAGTCAAGGCCCTTTGGCCTTTAAAGAATTTATTTGATATCATACAATGCACGTATATTTTTTTCTTTCACTACAGGTCTGGAAATAGTTCTAGTAAGTCAATTTACACAATCATTTAAAACTTTTGTTATTGACATTTATAATATCTGAAAAAGAAAATTTAGTTTTTGGAATATTCTCTGATAAAGACAGTAATCTTTCTCAAAATCATGCCATTAATAATCACATTCTAAATTCATTTTACGTTAGCTGCAATAATGTAGCCCTCTCCTTTTTTTGGGGGGGGGGGGGGGGGGGGGGGGGGGGGGGGAGAGAAAACATCACATTAAAAAAAAATGGGTGAGGTCTACATTATTGAAGCTAATTTTACGTAAATCGAAAGATTATTTACATTTTACTTTGTAGCACATCATTCAGTGTCATTATTCAGTAATCCATCCCCAAGTGAAAATTCCTTTCAATCAACATCGTTTGGAAGTGACTCAAGCCAAGGGTCATTTGGTAAGGGTTTCAAAAATAGAAATATCAGCTTTATGTCCTTTTGATTTAAAAGTTATTTTTTAATTATTATTTTCATTATGGGTATTTATGTAAATTTTAAAAGGTGCTACAGGATTTGGAGCCACTGGAACCTTTGGAGCATCTGGAACACAAGGATTTGGGACATCAGGGTCAGCAGGAGGTTTTGGTGCAAGCTCCGAGTCAACTGGGGTCTTTGGATCCTCTGGTGGTTTTGGAGCAAACAGTCTTTCATCTGGAAGCTTTGGCTCAAGTCCAGGCTTTGGAGCAAGTCCTGCTTCATCTGGAAGCTTTGGTGCTGGTGGGTTTGGTACATCTTCCTTTGGAGCTCAACCATCTGCTTTTCCAAATCCTAATCCATTTGGAGGTTCCACTGTGATGCCTTTAGCATTTGGAAATAACACCACAAAATCTCCAAGTATGTTTGATAACAGTTCAACAAATTCCCCAGCAAGTGCTTCATCGTCCAGTGGATTCCAGAGCCAAGGGACAAATGTATTTGGCTCTAGTCAGACAGTGGGACATAACACAGGTGCCAGTGCTTCTTTCCAAAGTCCACAGCCAGTGTCCGTGGAGTCCAATACTTATACTCCTATGGATAAACTGACTGCTGAAGAGTTAGCAGAATTTCAAGCTACTCATTTTACGCTCGGAAAGATTCCAACAAAACCACCCCCAAAAGAACTGTGCTTTTAATTTCCTGATTTACTGTTTGTAAAATTTTACATATTTACAGAAAATTTCATTATAATTAGTTGATCTTCTCAAAGAATAGCTAGCATCATTCAAAGTGAAATCATAAAAAGTAGATACATTTGAAAGTCATATGGATTATCATGCTTTAACTTTATATCAGTGGATTAAAATTGCCCACACACTTGTGATTAGGTAAGAGAGAGAGAGAGAGAGAGAATCATGTAAAAACTGACTACCATCTACTGGATAGTCTGACAATGAATTTTCTTTATTTCTTGATAATGACAAAAATAAAATTAAAACAAGATGTGTTTGTGAAACACTATGCGCCTGGCGGCAACAAAGTTCTAAAAAGCAATTTTTAGCAAATAGGTCATATTCAAGGTCACACGATCATTGTCCTTGAAGTCATTTGAAAGAACTTAATTAGTGGAATGTGCATACCAAAAATGAAGTCTCAATCTCCTATGGTTCAAAAGTTATGGGGAAAGTTCGAAAAAGCTATTTTTAGCATGTAGGTCACAGTCAAGGTCACAAGGTCATTGACCTTGGTGTCTGTCAGTTGAAAGTGCTTAATTAGTGGAGTATGCATACCAAATATGAAGTCTCTATCTCTCACGGTTCAAAAGTTATGGCGAAGGTTAAAGTTGACAACAGACAAACAAACAGACAAACAGATAAACAGACAAACAGACAGACAGGACAAAAACAGTATACGCCCCGAATAAATCTGGGCGCATAAAAAAATCAGTACCAATGTCCTTTTCCTTAAATCATCAAATCCATAAAACTAAGAGACATTAAAGGTTCCCTATTCTGGTAACACCCTCCCCCTTCTCTTAGGATGAAAATCTCAATTCTGAAACCTAATATTACATATTTATAGGACACCTGCTACTAGATTTCAAAATATGAATGGGGTATGATGAAAAATGTAAGAGGGGTTCATGGAACTATGTTTATGTACAAAATCAGAATTAAAAAATTGAAATTTTTTTTTAAGTGGGTCAAAACTTAGGTCAAAGGGTCAAAATTAATTATACCAAGGGAAAGGTCTTGTGACAAGAAATACACATGTGAAATATAAAAGCCCTGTCAACAACTGTTCAAACGTTATTAAAAAGGTTTAAGTCTTTTTTAGAAGCAAGTCAAACTCCTAGGTCAAGTTCAAAGTTTTTGGTATCTGAAAGCAGTTCATATCACAGGAAATACCTCTGTGAAATTTGAAACCCCAAAACGTTATTGTCCAAGTTAACTTTCTTTAAAGGGGTGAAACTCTCGGGTCAAGGTTAAAAATATTTAAACAAGGAAAGGTCTTATTACAATAAAATGAAAGCCAATGCATGGACATTGAAGGTTAAAGTTTTTGCGGACAAACAGACGAACGGACAACTACATATACCCCTGAATCTTCAATTACGGGGTCATGAAAAAAAAAGTACTGCGAATCTTCGACCTACATGTATAAATGTATGAGGACGTCAGAGAACCGGATTGAGAAAATTGGGAAACAACTTTTGTTTTAAAATGATTTATTTCTGAACCCCGGTTTCTCCCAGTGTGAAAGATGTGTTTGAGAAATACTTATGCCCCCGTGTGGCAGCCTATGGCAAAGGATAAATTTTCTCAAATGCAAGTTGAACTCCGAGGTCATAATGTTTTCCAAAGAAAGCACTTGTATCAAATATATATACAACTGTGATATATGAATGTCCAAGAACTAACCCTTCAAAAGTTAAGTAAACCTGTGATAAATAATAATTTCTGGTTCCAGCTGTTCAAAAATTATGGCAAAAATTAAAGTTTTTGTAAAGAGTTAAAGTTTGATTAATTTGGGCAAAAGTGGGCCAAACTCCAAAGTAAAGAGGTCAAATATATTCATAGACAATGAAATTATTGTTACAAGAAGGATATGGAGATAACGAACAGTATTCAATCTCAACGTCCATTAAACAATATACAAAATAAGAGCAGAGCAAACACGGACCTCTGAAACATCAGATAAAAAGTTATGGACACATGTGCTCGTTGTCATGATCAGGAAATAACGGAAAAAATCCGTCGTCATTTCAGTGTATAAATAATGGAATAACAACTGGTATGAAAAACGTCAGTCAGCATATGACTCAATGATAATTTGTATTTGCTGACAAGATCATTGTATCGACCATAGAATTTACGAAATGATGACTTTAAACGAGACTGTTGATATTCTTGTTTCATCAACTTGCTTGTCAATAATTTACCTCGTTTAAGAAATTGTTATATACATGTATATGAGATATATACAAAGAATTATATATAAATTCATACCTCGAACCAATAAAAAGTTATGGACAATGTGAATGCGCACAGACAGACCGACGGATGGACAGGACAAAATCTTTATGTCCCCGAATCTTCCATTTTATATACATGTATATGTATGATTATATATAAATCAAACGTTGGAAACCTCACTGCACATATACAGAACACTCCCAGTCATATTTCAAAACCTGTGAGTGATATGGGGCGCTCAAGAAACCTAGTTATATATGTAAACCCCAACCCCACCATTGAGAATGAACATTTCAAAATCCTTCTGCATATGGTCGTTACGATTTATATTTCAAAAGATAAGTTGGGTACTGCTTAAAGTAGAGTAGTGGCGGACGGACAGACAAACAGACATGGATCAGGATAGAGGGGGTTAAAAGAAATACTTTTGATAAGAAATAGTAAGGCATGTTAATTTATAAACATTCCTAGATCCTGTGGATTTTGGGACGATAATGCCATATTTGACGAACTCTGAGGAAGTACAAGTTGAACTGGAAAATCGGATAATTTAGAGGAAATTGGATTGGAATATAAAAAAATGTACAAAACAGTATGAAATGAGCATGCATGTGCCAAATGGATTGGCGACTCCAATTACACGCAAAGCTGATCATACAGTGGAAATTGACATTGCATGCGGGGAAGGTTAAGATTGGTCAGATATTAATTAGATTTTCGAAGACATCATCAAGTTCAGGTCTGATTTTCGTAAGTGTCGTACGCTTCTGCTCTTCATATATGGAGATTTTAAACCTGCAGCACAGGCGTTTCGATCGCTTACAAAAAAATTGAGGTGTTGAAAAATACATTTCATACACCCCCAATTTATAACAAGAGTCCCATGGGCCACATCGCTCACCCGAGCATATTGGCTAGTTAAAAACACAAATCAGCTCAGTATTGAAAAGTTTACCTGTTGGGGGAGAGAGGTTGAAATTTTTATTACTTGAAAATGTCACTGAATCAATAAAGCATACATGTATAATTTTGGCATACTTGAGAAGAAGATTTTTAAAGATTTTTCTTATATATTTCTATGTAAAAATTTGATTGCCCATTATGGCCCCACCTTACCCCCAGGGGTCATGATATGAACAACTTGAATTAACTCTAACTGAGGATGTTTCCATATCACCAATCATAGTTTTGCTGATCTTGAGAAGAAGATTTTTATAAGATAAATCCTATGTATTCCTATGTAAAACTTTAATCAGCCATTGTGGCCCCGCCCTATACTCGGGGGTCATGATTTAAACAAACTTGAATCTACACTATCTGAGGATGCTTCCACACAAGTGTCATCTTTCCTGTCCTATGGTTTTGGAGAAAAGATTTTTCTTATATATTCCTATGTAAAACTTTGATCAGCCATTGTGCCCTGCCCTACCCCCAAGGGTCATGATTTGAACAAACTTGAATTTACACTACCTGAGGATGCTTCCACATGAGTTTCATCTTTCCTGGTCCAATGGTTCTGGAGAAGACGTTGTTTTTTTTTTTTTATTCCTATATATTTTTATGTAAAACTGTGATCAGCCATTGTGGCACCGCCCAACCCCCGGGGGTCATGATTTGAACAAATTTACTCTACACAACCTGAGGATGCTTCCACGTAAGTTTCATCTTTCCTGGTCCTATAGTTCTCAAGATAAAGTGTTTTTTTTCCCTACATATTGCTATGTAAAACTTTGTGGCCCCGCCCTACACCAAGGGGTCATGATTTGAACAAACTTGAATCTACACTATCTGAGGATGCTTCCACATGAGTTTCAACTTTCCTGGTCCAATGGTTCTCGAGAAGAAGATTTTTTAAAAATGCCATTATTTTTTCATTAATTCATAATTATCTCCCCTTGGAAGAGGACTTGGCCCTTCGTTTGAACAAACTGGAATCCCCTTCACCCAAGGATACTTTGTGGCAGGTTTGGTTGAAATTGGCCCAGTGGTTCTTGAGAAGAAGATGAAAATGTGAAAAGTTTACGACGACGACGAAGCCGACGATGATAACAACGACAGACAACGGACAAATTTTGATCAGAAAAGCTCACTTGAGCCTTCGGCTCAGGTGAGCTAAAAACGGATTTAAGCGATCCAAAGGCCTGTGCCTGCAGTGATGAAACTAGATTTAAAGGGACATGGACAAAGTGGCAGCTTAAAATTTACAAATTAAAATTTCCATTTTTTTATGTTTATAAATATTTAACTGAGGTATTTCCAATGATCATCAAAGATTAGACTTTAGAGCTCTCAACATTTGTTATGTAAACAGGGCCCGTGCCATGTTTTTGTTTACTTAGGTAAAATATACTAATACAGGTGGTATATGTTCGTTCAAAGCAAACTTTATCAATAACGTATTAATTCTAATTACAACACTAGTGATTTGCTAAATCTTATTTTCTTATAAATATGATTTCGGTATGTAAACAAAAACAAGACACGAGCCTTGTTTACATTATGAAGAATTTTAAGTTCTGTATCTCGATCCTTCGTAAATCAACAAATGACGTTCAATTTTTTGCTGATAATTGGAATTGTCTTATGGTTATAGGAATTGTAATCATTAAAATTGGTTAAAAAAAAAATCAGTTGAAACTGTGTCCATGTCCCTTTAAACGAAATAATTTGATTGATCAACTAGTAATTAAATACTTACGAAATGTTCCATAAAAGAGGGTGTCTACAATTAGTATTTCTTTTTTATTTTCAATGGAAATGTAAACTTTATTATTTTTTTATTTTATCTTTTTTTTTTTTTATTAAGAGTTTATTTTTACTTTCACGCAAATTACACAAATACAAAACAGACGTACGTGTATATGTAAATAAATATACAAGACAGTTTGAAATAACGCAAAATCAAAAAAGAGGTAATAAAAACTAGTGTGAAAGTTTATGTAGAGAGAAAGGGGGGATAGGAAGAGAGAGAGAGAGCGAGAAAGTGAGAGAGAGAAAGATGAGGGGGCACACACTTTATTGAATAAGTAACGGTAAGAAAATTTTAAAGTTTTTCAACTATTTTCTGCCAGTGTCTTTCAAATTCATCATTTGCAATTTTTTAACAAAAGAAATTTTTCTACTCTAATTCTTTCAGTAACAACATTTTTCAAAGTCTCAAAGTTTAATTTTATAGTTTTGCATATTTACTTGCAAAAAATATATTGTTTTATAATCAGAATAAGTAGATTTACTAGTTACTAGTTACAGTTACTAGTTTTAAAAACTTAGCATCATGAATGATTTAAACAAAGGGAAAAGTGGGCGACCTAAGTGTTCAGCATCAAACAAAATAGATGCATGGCTAAAAAATGTTTTTTTAGCTCACCTGAGCCGAAGGCTCAAGTGAGCTTTTCTGATCAAAATTTGTCCGTCGTCTGTCGTCGTCGTCGGCGTCGTTGTCGTCGGCGTAAACTTTTCACATTTTCATCTTCTTCTCAAGAACCACTGGGCCAATTTCAACCAAACTTGGCACAAAGTATCCTTGGGTGAAGGGGAATCAAGTTTGTTCAAATGAAGGGCCACGCCCCCTTCCAAGGGGAGATAATTATGAATTTGTGAAAAATTTATGGCATTTTTAAAAAATCTTCTTCTCCAGAACCGCTGGGCCAGGAAAGATGAAACTCATGTGGAAGCATCCTCAGGTAGTCTAGATTCAAGTTTGTTCAAATCATG